GTAGGATTCTTTACCACACCAGTTTGCAAGTACCCTCATGTTTCTTTACTTTTTCAAAATTCAATCCTACTACTTTTTCATTTTTAATGTTTTTGATTTACTTGTAGTAACATAAAAGTATGCTGTACAAGTCATGTTCCTTTCATCTACTCATTGAATGTGCATGCTAGGTTTCATTATTATATAGGCAGTAGCCTATATGTATGATTGACGTTGATTTTTCAAGATGGCGACCAAATTTATAATTTTCAAGCGCTTATAACTCTTTTATCTTATGTTAAATAGTCTAATAAATGTGTTAGATGAGCTCCACTTCACTGAGCGATTATCCTAGTACCTTTAAAGTGGACTGTAATGTGGCGGGAACTTTTGTCGAGAATAGGCCCAAATTCAAATATTCTGCAAAATTTTTTAAACTTTTCTTCTTTCTTTCATCTTCTATCCGGAAGATAATCTCTGAAGCCAGATAAGAGACTAAGTTGGCTTTAACATCATTCCTTTGCGTTTAGGTCAAGGACCACAAATGTGTCGCTCAAGTTTTACTTCAACTTGCATTGAGAAATGAAATATTTGATGAGTGTGGTATACACATCCTGTTGTGAGATGCCATTTTAAAATAAAATGTACATGCGCAGAGCCAGAGTTACCATTGTGACTGAATCAGACTGATAATTAAGTCAGGCAGTCCGCTGGAACCTGCTTATTATCTCTCTTCCTCTTTCTTTACTTGTTAGGAGTGTGCAGAGTAAGAGATCAACAGTTATTTTAAGAGCTATTAGGTAAGTAACATTATTATAAACTAAAAATTAAAAGATATTCATAATTAAGGGGAACAGCTGGTTCTTTATTTTACAGTGTATTGCAGCTGGTGCTGATTTCATGTGTATTACTGTCGTATTAGTCAGGTTTTGAATATTGTCATATTGGATATATTGAGATAAGTGTTTCTATTTGCAATGATAAGTAGTGCGTATGGTAATAGTAATGATAGTAGTACATTATTTTACTTATGTGTGATTCAGTGCTAAGTGTAATTGTTGCAATGTTTGTTTTAAGAAAGGGAAGTAGAAAGAAGAGAAGTATTTTAACAGGGCCAAATCAAAACAATAAAATTTGAATGATTATGAACATGAAAAAAAAATGGAAGATTTTATTGATATGTATAGGTTATACAATGAGGTAAGGTATGATAAGGCCATAGATACCGACACAGAGTTGTATAACCGACTTCTACCATGTACTAAAATAAACAACTAGTTTACTTAGCAACACTTAGCAACAGCATGGCTTGCATGCCTATTTTTAGCAGGAGGTTAATAAGTAATTTCCCGGGCAAACTTATTAACCTCCCAGGTCAACTTATTAACCTCCCGGGCAAACTTATCAACCTCCCGGGCAAACTTATTAACCTCCTATTACCTGGGAAATTACTTATCAAACCTCCTAGTGGTAGATAAGTTATTTATGAACCTAAAATCAAGCAATCTGATTGGTCAATTGCAACTAAGCATGGTAGAAGAATAGATCAAACGTGAAAGCATACTATATAAGACAAAGTAAGTCAAGAATTTGTTATAAAATCTGTAGAAAATATAAATTTGCATATTCCAAGCAAAATTATGCCCTTCATCCACATAATATTTTACAAAAATGCAAGGAATAGTATTACAAAAACAAGGATGCAAAACTTATTAAGTCAACTTGCTCCAAAAAAAAGTATAATGCTAATCTAGCTCCTAAGAAGATAAAATCTTTAAATTATTCAAGAGCAACATACTCTAATGATCCACAATCAAAGCAGCAACAATCTAGAGATCGTTTTCAAGAGAATCCTAACCCTCTAAAAATGGAATCAAAGGAACGCTACAAAGACAAAAATCTTTGAAACTGTATTATAAAAATAGAGATGCAATATTACGTGCAACGAAGGATAAGTTTTTGAGTTTTACACATTCTGATAACATAATGGACAAATTAAAGATAGCACTAAATAATGAAAGTAAGAGGCATCTAATAAAGATTATTATGATCGTAATTATGGTCAAATATTGTATAGATTACGTTCCGATTACTCACTACCTGCACCAAATAGTGAAGCAAAGGAATATAATTTTTACAAAAATTGTTGAAGCATTATAGACCTCTTGGTGCTAAATATATTCATGAATAGACCGTATTGTTCTAATGGAAAAAAAATTTCCTAAAATTTCAAAACCGCCATTTTTGTGTCCAAAATACAACAGTAATGGCCTTCTTGTTATGCAGTTGGCTGTCATTCACGTTATAAAAAGGGACAGAACTTGTCTTTTTATTGTTTCTCCGTTGAAAGATAGGTGTATAGCTACTATCAGAACTGGTTATCAACGAAGTAGACCAGCAGACAGTCACAGGTAGGTCAGTACTGACGAGTTTTATTATTGTAAAAACACCATAATAATCCCAAGCATGATAGATAATGTACTATCAGTATTTTGAATTGAAAACAAGCCTATAGAACAAATGCTCTACAAAGATACAAGAGGGGCTGTTGCTAGCTAGAGCCAAAGAAGTCATTACAGTTTGGACTCAAAGGAGTGGGTTCACTGCTGATATTCTAAATACCAACAGGACAAGAAACAGAGTGCTACAAACAAGGAATGAAGTTGGTACATATTGTTTCTGGAGGGAACACAAGGGAAAGATGATTGCTTGCAATGGTACGTCCTAACTGTCACAGTGAATGGTTCCACCACAACTTAATGCATTGGGGATACTGTCCATATTGTCGTAAAGTGGTTTCATTACAAGTATATACATAATTGATTATTATGTATTTTGTTTGTATTATTATTTTCCAGTAATAATTTTTTTCTGAAACAAGTATTTCTAAAATGAATTTACTAAAGTAGCACAGTAACAATTTTATCAATTTAAAAATTTGTCAGATATACAATGTAGCAGAATAGTTTGAACCCTTATCCACTATGGCCAGCAAAATAAAGACATAGCAACTGTCCAAGAACCTACCTGTTGTAATATTTGTATGATTCTAAACTTTTATAAGCCTTCATTGCTTTCTATGTCCCCAATCTGACTGCAACTGAGGCCACTTCTCGATCCATTCACGAATCTGGCATGGGTCGAATTGATCACAGTACTTCTGACCATTGATCCATTCTACTTAAGCATTATATCTATTCTTATCAGCTCCGGAAAAAGAGGAAAACTATTTTCTACCATATAAAAGATTGGCCATGTTGGACACCATAATGGCTGCCACAATGAAAACCACACCTAATAGGTGGGGCTGAAAGATAGAAATTATTATCGTAACGTTATGAATATATTTAGCACCAAGAGGTCTATATTTTACAGCCCTGAACTATTTCATGATTTATGGCCATCAAGTATGAAAGTTGTAGATTTTGAGAACACGTCATATGACAGTAAATGTAATGCTGCATCAAGTATATTGTTACAATCAGTTTTAAAAAGCAGATCCCACAAAGTAGGCGTATTAATACGTACAGCAAATAGCATTAGGAAATTGAGGTTGAATAGTTTTAGTGATTTTGGTGAGAAGTGTCACATAAAAAATACTGAGCCTTATTTTTATGAATCAGCCTATTTGTATCCTAATGATAACTCTAATAGACAGTTAGATAGTCCAATTGCAATCCCTGTTGATACAAATGGCACTGGTAATGGTAATGTAGCAGGGATTGTTGATGAGTCATGCATTGATAGAATAGAAGAATGTAATGATGATAGTGACTCTGAAGATGTTAATTTTGATAATAATAGTATGTATACTAATAAGAGAAAGCCTATCCTCAAATGGCACTGTACAGACAGGTGCAAGCCTTAATGAGAGAGTGACATTAGTTCTATTATTGAAGTCAGACGATATTTTGATGAACCCATTAAAGAATTGAGGAAGCATTTAGATGCCAGTGATAATTGTCCTAATAATCATTATATGACAAGATCCCTGCATGTTGAAGGAATAGATCAAGTGCATGAACATGATTACTGTGATAATCCAAATGTAACGGTAATTGTTAAAAGGCATTAAAATGGCATTGAAAAATATATAAAATATTCAGAAATTGTTTGTGAAACGATAGGCCATTCTATTGTGTGTAGTAGTAATGATACTAAGTGTAAAAATATGCGCGTATTATACGCAATGCTTCTGTTCATTATCCTTTGTTGAGACACCTTTTGAAACACTTTTATGTTGCTACAAATGCCCATTTAACAATAGATATTATTGACTTTTCCCTTGCTGAAGGCAATATAGCACAATTGCAAAAATTAAAAATCAGTGGGATTGTATCATGCTATTAATGATGGTGAAGAAGAAGACCCATTTAGAATACCAAACTTAGATACTATACTTTATTTTCAGTATTCAGATGCCAATGACGATTTTAAGAAAGCTTTGTCTGATCAGGCTATTAATGCTTGTTGTAGCTGTGAGAGGCTATTAAGAAAAAATCTGTCACTGAAGCTAAAAATTTAGATAGCGATGTTTGGATTATCCTATTAGATTACATTAGCGAGAATGATCCTACAGCATTAAGTAAAGTTATGTATACTTGTAATCACAGTAAACCAATTATTAGGACTAATGAAGTTCCAGCACGTTGTGAGCTCAATGGGTTAAAGTGTGAGCCACTACCCAAAGAGTTAGATAATTCGGATCCTTTAAGTTGCCAGTTAATACACAGGGCCAAGTGTTTTCAGACAATTGTTAGGCTAAGCACACACACCTTAAAAAAGCCTACATATAATTCTTTAAAGGCTCTTAAAGGTGCAATGTTTTATTTACCTCTTCCCCTTGAAAAGACAATGGATGAGGTTGGTATAGATTCTAATCATTTGCGTAATCCAGAACTTTATATTATCATTAATGGACAACTTACTAAATCAAATAATGTCTGGCGTACTATAGTTGATGTCAATTAAATAAAATCAGCATTCAGAAAATTAAAAGAAATTGGCTTTATAGAAACGTAGACACTAATTCAATTGATCAATTGTCAAAAAATGTGATACAAGTAGTCAGTGATACTAGTTGTAAAATGCTTAAAAAAGCGAACAATCAAGATTTAGAAGGCCTTTTGGCATATACAATTAGAAATCTTGATAGAAAATTGTAACAGGTTCTGATACTAGTCAATATAAATTAATAAATGTAATAGAAGAGCCTATAGACAATAGGCAAGAGCATCTTGATTTATTTTGCTTTCCTACTTTATTTCTAACTGGACAATATGGAGAGCATCACCCCTGACAAAGCTGTCCAGCACAGACTTTATCATTTTAGTGAATGCATAAAAGCTAGACTCTCAAACAATGATTCCAAATTTTGTAGAAATCATTCATATTCTCTGCACTATTACGGATTAAAAATGAAAAAAACCTTAAAAACTGGCATAAGTAATTTATTAAAAACAAGAGGCAACGTTGGTCAAACTTTTGCTGAAATATTAGAAAAAATCATTATTTCAGATGAAGAATTTGAGGGCAATTTAAGTACCATATTGGCTCCATAATGGGGCACAAATCAAAATTGGTTCCTTGTGAAAGGTGAGGTCAAAACTATGATTGCTGAGTATGGTTCACCAACACTTTTCCTAACATTAAGTTGTGCTGAATACGATTCAGCTGATATAGCACAATATTAAAGAAAAGTAAATAATGCTCCTCAATCATACAGTACTTCTAGATTATGTACTGAGGACCCTGTTTCAGTATTGCGACAATTTCCATACAAGTTTAAAGATTTCTTTAATATAGTTATTCTCCAGAGAGGTGTTCTAGGCAAAGTAGAGCAATATTATATTAAGCCTCATTATCACATCCTCCTATGGCTTGAAAATGCACCTGTTGTTGCTATTGATCATCCTGAAGAAATCTGTTATTTCATACAGGATAGGATACCGTGTCATATACCAGATAGTCATGCATCACCAGATTTACATTTCTCAGTAACAAAATACCAAATGCACATGTGCAGCAAATACTGCAAGCGAAATATTGAAGTCAGCAAGACCTATGCATCTAGATGCCGATTTGATTTTCCTAGACCTGTAAGAGATGGTATTTGCATCAATGATGTAGAAAATCATGCAATAAATTATATTATCTCAAACAAAATGAAAATGAAGTTCCAGTGAATGACTACGACCCTTTACTGTTGAAATTGTGGCGTGCAAATATGGACTTACAAAACATAGCTCAGAAGAGTCTTTCCTTAACAGAAAATGTAACTGGATATGTCACTAAAGGAGAAAAGAGTCACGCACAGGTGTTATGGGATGAAGTCAGCAGCTGGGAAAACATATACAGCAGGCTTTGGACAATTGGACAAAAGTTAGTAACTTAGATCCAAATAAGTAGGGCTATATGAAGCTAGCAATCTTCTTGGTGAAAGTTTATAAAGAAATCAGTAACTGTACAGTACATTAATGTGTATTTGCCTCTTAAGAGGAGCAAAAAAGTCAAAACTATTCATATTTAAATAAAATGGATCGATCTTCAACAGATACTTTTAATCCTAGCATAATTGAAGACTTTCATCCAACAAGACCGAATAACATGGAAGATGTATCTCTTTACAAATTTGTTGCTAATTACAAATTGGATAAAATAGGGAAATATGGTGAAAGAGGATACAAACCTCGATCAAAGCCAGTCCTTCCAAGCCATAGGAATTTTAATCCTATGCAAGAAGCGGAAAGAGATGATTTTTATTACTTGCTAATATTTTTATTTGTGCCTTTTAGAGATGAGAGCACACTTGTAATGAAAGGAAAAAACAATGGAAGAATCTTTTATGCGTCACAGAGAAGCATCTATACGTGGCATTGAAACTCATTTCAAAAAATACAGAAATGATTAGAAGCTGAACGTAATTGAAAGAGTCAATGAAAGAAATAAAGCTGGTTTCACTGAAGAACTTCCTGATAACAAGGAAGATGATGAGCCTCAATTACTGGGTCAAATAATGGAAGCAGTAGCTGATATTGCTGACATGCATATAAATGTACCTAATTTAACATTACAGCAAGGAGAGGCAATGCTTAATGTAGATCAAAAAAGAATTTTTGATAATTAAAATTAAGACTCATCTTATAAGTCAAAAAGAACGTGAAGAGTTATTAGAGAATGAGTCTTCAAGACGACTTAGATTACATAATATCAAACCGCTAAGGATGTTTATTAGTGGTGTAGGTGGAACTGGTAAGTCATTTTTGATAGAGGCAATAAAATGCCTAGTAGATGACATATGGCATCCAAAAAGTGGTGAAATTATGTGTGCCATAGTAGCAACAACAGGTATAGCCGCATTTAATGTAGGTGGACTAACAATACATAGATTATTTTAGCTACCAACAGAGCATGAGGGAAAGACAGCTGGATATTGGGCTTTGAATAAAGAAGCTCGGAAAAGGATAAAAACGACACTTAGAAATTTAAAAATTATAATATTAGACGAGTTATCTATGGTATCCAATCTAAATCTAGCATACTTACACATGCACTTAGAAGATATATTTGGTACTGATGAATGGTTTGGATCCAAAAATATTTTATTTATAGGTGACCTCTTACAACTGCCACCAGTTAATGGTAGACCAGTATTAAAAAAAATAGCAACGAACTAGTAAAAACTAGACTTGGAACAGCAAATGCAGTTAACATATTGAATAAAACAGTGGAGTATGATGAACTAACAATCAATGAGCGACAAGGAGACGAAAATTTCTTTTAGATGCTTGATTCTGTTTGGCATGGCTGTCTGACTGATGAAACTATTAATACGCTTAAGAGTCACGTATTTAAGGTTACAATACAAGAAAAATATAAAGAACTGGAAAGAGAAGGAACAAATCCTCCAATTT